CCTGCCTAGGCAGGGGGTTGGACTAGAAGACCTCCAAGGTCCCTTCCAACTCTGCTATTGTATTGTATGTCTAGTTTAATGAAAAGTAGGACTAGGGGAGACATGATAGGAGTCTTCCAATATCTCAGGGGCTGCCACAAAGAAGAGGGAGTCAAACTATTCTCCAAAGCACCTGAGGGTAGAACAAGAAGCAATGGGTGGAAATTAATCCAGGAGAGAAGCTACTTAGAACTGAGGAGAAACTTCCTAAGAGTGAGAACAATTAACCAGTGGAACAGAAGTTGCCTCCAGAAGTTGTTAATGCTCCATCACTGGAGGCTTTTAAGAAGAGACTGGACAGCCAGTTGTGTGAAGTGATGTAGGGTCCCCTGGCTGAGCAGGGGATTGGACTAGAAGACCTCCAAGGTCCCTTCCATCTCTTGTTACCCTGAATTCATGCTCTTCTTGGTCTCTTCCAGCTTTTAAGAATCCAGCTGTACCACATGAAGAACATGTTCAAGACATGTCGCCTAGCTAAAGGGTAAGGATTCCAAAAAACACTTTTTCGGAGAGTCCCCGTCGTTATCGTAGAGCGAGAGCGAGCGGTGAGCAGCAGGGAGTTGGTGCCACAACCGATGGCACAATTGACCCGAGTGTGTGGCTTGGTTGTTTTCTCACAGACGTGAGAAAGCTGTGAGGAAAGGCAGATTCCACACTCAGGAGTGTTGTGGAATGGGAAATGATGTAATCTCCTCATACAGATTTACGATCCAGTTGTATCTGGACGATATTATCACAAGCTCTCTCTCTATAGCTGTGATGGGGAACCTCCGGCATGCGTGTTAGAGGTGGCACGCAGAGCCCTCTCTTCTCTTCTGGTTTCCAGAGCACACATGCATGCCCGCCAGCTGGTCTTCGCGGGTGCCGGAGCACCAGAAAACGGCTGGGAAACGGGCCGGAAAACAGCCAAAAAACAGGTCATTTTGGGGCCATTTTCAACCATTTTCATTTTTGGCGCAAAAATGGCCTGAAAACACCCCAAAACAGCCAAAAACCAGGCATGAGCTGGCATGTCAGCCAGCTGGTGTTCAGGTTTCCAGCACTCTGGCCACACCCACACGCATGCACGGACGTTCCCATTTGGGCACTCGGAGCCGAAAAGATTCGCCATCACTGATCTATAGTTTTCTTTCTGATAGAAGAGAATATTTGTAGCGCAGGGTTGAACTGGGGGGTCCTTGGTGCTCTCTGAGCTCGGTGGTTTTCCTGAAGACGTTTTATTATCCAACTCGGTAATATCATCAGTGTTAGGAAGGAATGGGGTTTGTGGAGGAGGAGGAGGAGGAGGAGGAGGAGGACTGGATATTTTGGTGCTCATCGAGCTTGGTAGTTTTCTTGCAAATGTTTCATTAACCAACTGAGTAACATCATCAGTGCTAGAAGGGAGAGGGATTATATTGTATACTACCCGATAATTGGGTGGGTCCCCGGGTATTTATTTATGCTAATCCTGTACTAGACAGGAGAAGGAATGAATTATATCTATACTGTCAAGTCAAAGTAAAGCTGGAACACACACATACATCCAAAATGCACACTATCACTGTCAAAAGTACTGATATTTGACACTATAGATATAATTCATTCCTTTTCATTTCAGCGGCCCAGGCGGTCCAGAGTTATGCTGGAACACACACACACACACATACATACACACACACATATTCCAAGGGGTGTTAGGGGTGTCTTACCCCCACAGTATTTGTTTCCAGAGAGTAAGTGTACCAATGTATGTGTGTACCAAGTTTGGTTGAAATTTTTCAGCGGCCCAGGCGTTCCAGAGTTATGCTGGAACACGTGCACGCAAACACACACACACCGAGGGGCGTTAGGCGTGTCTTACGCCCACAGTATTTGTTTCCAGAGAGTAAGTCATCTGTGTACCAAGTTTGGTTGAAATTGCTTGAGGCATTCCAGAGTTATGTTGGAACATACACACAGAGACATTTAGATAGATAGATAGATAGATAGATAGATGGATGGATGGATGGATGGATGGATGGATGGATGGATGGATGGAT